TCTTCATCTGTGATCACACCTCCTCCTTCTACTCACACTTCATTGTTAGCTTATTCCTTCTGTTCTCATCTCTCTGTTTTCTTTCGTCAAGGGTTAAGAGCTTCCAACACAGATTAAAAGAATTATATCGACACTATCAGTTGGTTCTGCTTCTCTTGGCAAATCCTCTGCTCTTCAAGGATGGTATTTGATATACTGTGCTGGCTTTTTTTCTGTGCGAAGTTATTTGGGGAGCTTTCTCCAAATTCTTCAAATTTTGCTGGTATTAAATTATCCTAATCATCTCATCTCCTAAGATAGATGAGCATGCATGTATTTTAAGAAATTACATAATGACATGTTCTTCAGGTGCCTTCATGTCTCTCTTTCACTGTTTTCGCTTCAGTCTTGTCATACCCCTCAGTTATCTCTCACATAGAGCCACCTCTTTTGTGCCTGTGTCATCTTCTGTGTTTTCCACACTTTGGGCTGATCTTTTTAGGACCGGGTTCTGCAGTGTGGTGACTCGTCTGGTGCAGGCAAGCCCTGGAGAATTTGATCCTGCATGCAAACTAAAGTTCACATCTTGCAAAAATGTAGCAGTGCTTTTTTTTTTTTTACATACTGACATTTATGCTATTGACAGGGCTTTAATGCTAAGCTTGGCAAAACTTCTCTTTCTTCTTCTTCTTAAGTGACTGAAAGATAACCTAAGCTAGAGTGTGTACTGGTCTTCATGAGGTTAAGTCAGTTAGACTTTTTGAGTAGAATAGAAGAGAACAGACTATTTCAGTTGGAAGGGACCTACAATGATCTTCTAGTTCAGCTGCTGGCCAAGTCAGGACTTCTATGTCTGAGAAATTATACAGTGCCTTGTCCGTCCCTGTGTATCTTGGCACACTCTTCAATTGATTCCCTCTAATTTGAGGTCCATTTTTTCCAGTCTTCCTTGTAGAGGTGCACCAGCTAAGCTAAGATCCTGATAAGTATTTAGATGCCTGACCCTTGCTTAAGACTGGACTCCATTGATCTTCGCCAAAGTTCACAAGCTGGGTGAGACTGAAATCAATGCTGTTCAGGTATGGAGCTCAGAAAGACAAAGCCAAGCCTGCTGGCTCTGACCCACAGGCACTTGTGCATGTCTTTCATTTTCAGCATGTGGCAGCCCTGCTGCCTGTTCTAAACTTCCCGATGCATAGGTCCAGATTACTGTGCACCAGCTACAAACATACCAGTACCCTGAAATCGTGAGGAATAAGGTAGCAGTCCCCTGTGTAACTACTGTGTCTTGAAAAGTAAATCTGGGCAGAAGCAATGTTTTATATTTGATAACGTGTTATTAGCAGAACTTCTCCTGCCTATGGTTCACACCAGCAACTCTGGCACGAAGTGCCACTACCAGAGATGTTCATACTATCTGTTGCCAAACAGTACTGTAGCCTGAAAGATGCAAACCAGTACAGTAACATGTTGCTGCTGTGATAAACACGGGCTTGGAATAAAGTTTAAAACCAGAAAAGGATTCAATGGCTGTGAGTCAAGGGTCAAGTCTAAGTAAGTTTTCCTAAAAGCCAGCTGGTCTTCTGCCAGGTCTTCTGCTTTATCCACAGACTGGTTTCCCTTCAGCTGTGTTGGCATCTCTCTGCTTAGGTGGTGCCATGACTCTCTGCCAGGTTTATCTCGTATTACAAAATCCTGAACACTAGACTGGAAGAGGTTGAAAGATGTCTCTTGATTCTACAGGAAATATGCCTTATTTCAACATGGCTGTGGGTTTGCTATTTCTTTTTTTAATCAGTGCGGTGTTGCTAAGTCTGATATATTTATCATTAGTCTCAGTATTTCGTGTCCTGTAAAATGAATCCCAGCTCTCATTGTCAAGTGATTAAACAAAAATCTCAGCCTTCACTTAAAAAATCCACTTTCCTAGGCTCAGTGTTGTTGAGAAGTAATTGAAAAATACTGTTTGAAGCACTTGAAAAATACTGAAAGTGAAAAATGTTGAACAATGTTGGAAGTGCTTATGTACTCTGCAAACTGAGAAATCAGAATATAGGGAAAAAATAGATCCCTCTCTGTTTCTACGAAAGTCTCATGTTTTTTAAGTTAATCTTGAGATTTGCGAGTAAAAGCAGTCAAGTCCTCTTCTTTGACTGTTTGAGGTTGATAGAATTGGCTGTGTTTTCCCCAATGACTTATGCTGTTCTCTTATTCAAACCTCTCTTCAAGAGAAGTGGATCAAATGGAGGTTGTGGGTTTGGTTTAGCATCAGCCTTCACTGAGTTCCAGGTTAAAGGAGACCCACAAAGGGAGTTGGTGTTGGTATTTCTCTTCCCCAACTAGCCCACCCCACTTTTTCTTCTTTACATTTTTTATTTAGAGTTAGAAAAGCTCTAAAGATTCTTCTTGTTTGTTGAAGTTTGCTGCATTTCCCTTTGTGAATGCAAGATTACCCTGCCCTAGTTTATCTAAAATAATCACTGACAACACTGACAGTATGCCATCTGCAGCCCTTGTAGCATGACTAGGGCAAAGCTCAGCATTTACAAAAGAGTGCTTCTCTCTCAGATGTTTGAATTCAAACCATACTGTTGTTATTTATTAAATAAATAAGACTTTTTTTCCTGATGTTTTATTTATTAAAAAATAAGGGTTCATTTAAAATGTCAGGCCTATATGGGAGTTCAGTGATGCATAGGCTCTGTGTTAGCTCTCAGATCTAGGGTGACTTTTACTCTGTATAGTACAAGTGTAGGCGGGGTGCTTCTGCGCCATGGAACACATGAGAATGAAGAAGTGCTGTGGCTCCCCATACCAGGCATCTGCGCTCAGTTGCACTTGGTCTGAATAGGCACAACTCTGTTTGTTTCCCTGCAATGGCATCTGGTTTGTCCTAGCATGAGTGAAAGGTGATTCAGGTTCGGTAAGGTGTCCAAAACAGGTTGAAAGGCTCTCTTTTCCAGAATGACTTCAGGCAAGTCAAAGCAGGCTTGATCAGGTTTGGAAGCCAGCAAACTTTTGCAAGGCAGGCTCATCATTGCCTTGCTCTGTGCTGAGGAATTTGGGCTGGAAATGTATCAGCTTTGCAGCAATGTCTTCCCACATGCCAAGATTACCTACACATTAGAAGTGGATGCTGCAACTTAGACAAAAACTTAAATAAAAACTAACTTCAGTTCCTAGCTTTGCTTACTAGCTGTCCTAGGACTTCATAGGAACCACTCTTTCTCTGCCTCGGTTCTGCTTTTTGGGTTTTTTTTTGTCCTCATCCCATTTCTGCCTTCCCTGAAGGTACATTCTCCTTCCCACCCACGCCTTTCTTCATCTGAGAATTACTTAACTTTCTGAAGAGGAGTCCTGTGAAATGTATCCTACACAGATGCACTGCTAGGGTGGAGCTGGGAATAGAGCATGGGTGGAAGGGAGTGACTGGGACAGCGATGAGGGAAAAAGGTGGCATATGGGACAATATACCACTGCAGTTCCAGTGGACAAGAAAGCAGAACTGTTCCTTTCCATGGCACTGTGGATCTACATCAGCTTAAGCTGATATTGCACTGTCCACTCAGAGGCCTCCATGAGCCCGTGGTGTGCACACAGAACTGAGAGCAGCTTGAGTAGTCAGCATAAAGTTGTGTGGGAGATGGATGTCCATCTAGACCAGGGGTTCCCAGAGATGATCCTTCTGTGCCTAATTATAGTGCCTGGCCTTTCCATCAACTCCCTGGTATAAGTGCCTTCTCCTCTGGTACTCTCCTGTTTGGAGCTCGCTTGGCTTTCTTAGCCTGTCTAGCAGTGTCAGCTAATGAGCTTCTCCAGCTTCCCTAGGCCTCGATTTCTCTTCCCCACTGCTACTTACATGTCTCAGCAACAGGCTCTCACAGAAAACTCCTTAATCACCATCATGGTCTCTGATATGAATGATATCATATGAATGATACAGAGTTTCTTTGCGTGCAAATTAATCAGCTAGTGTAAGTAAAATCAAGGAAGAACAAGGTTACAGCAATGCAAAACCTACTATTCTTTTATTGGACAAGTGTAGTTTTAATGCTCACACTTGAGGGTATGCTAGTAAATATGTTAAAAATGCTTGGAACATGGAAACTGACTGTCTGACACCATGGCTGCCTGTGAAGCTCTACAACCTTGAATTGGTACACAGGGTCATCGTGGCCCTTGAGCCAACACTGCCAAAGCCACTGCTAAGTTTACCATTGACTTCATCAGCTTAAAAACTGAGCCCTAAATTCTGGTTTGTTCAAGACCAAAAATCCTACCCCAAATCTTCTTGGAAGAGATCAATAGTCTTGTGAATTACAGCTGCACAAGTGCTGTGCAGTCTTGAAACATGGTCAGCTTATCCTTCACAGGGAATGAGATCTGCAAGTTCAAGGAACCGAGGTCACCGAAGTCATTAGCTTTATTTATCTATTCTAAGCCAAGAATATATTACCAAGGGCAGATGGATGTTATGCAGGCACCCATAGTGGAAACCCAATCCACCTGAAAAGTAGACTCCTGACAAGCGCAGTATACATATTTACTGAGAGTGTGAGCGGCCTGACCTACTCCTGGGTTTGCCCAGAGCAGAGCTCCTGGCTAGTCATGTCATTAGAGACTTTGAAGACAATATAAAAGAGGCTCTCAGTAAAGCTAGGTTAGACTTCTGTTTTTATTGATGGATAGACTCTCATTTTAATCAGGTATTGATATCTTCCAGTGTTGTAAATACCCGGAACTCCCCTGTGCAAGCAGACCTTTGTTGCAATGGATCTATGCTGAGGGCTGTAGTGGGTAACGCCAGATGCTGGACCTCAGAGACCTCCTGATGCCACTTTCAGCACACTTTCAGCCACTAAATGCTCAGAAGCTGGTAGGGATCACTGGGTTGGTTCCAAGTGCAAGTAGAGACAGGAAAGTCTAGTGGATGTTGGAAAGCTTATAGTATGTTTCCACCTCATTTGGAGTGACTGTGCTGGGAAGCAATTTATACAAAGTTGCTATGTGAAAGAAAGTTGTATGTGTTCAGAATCACTATAAGTATATATGAAAAGGTAACTGGATATGGCATAGACTTGTGTATCATACACGTGTATCTCATAAGCAGTTTAATTGGGGGATACAACTGCCAGTGCAGCTTGAAGGAATCCTCCAAAATCGCTGTTGCAAGCACGCGGGCTGGCACTTTATTTAAGAGCTCCAGAGTGAAAGAATTGTATCTTCAGCAGACAGCTGATGAGTCTTGGTACTGTTTTTGTGAGCCTAACTGCCCTTCTCCCGTAATCACTGACCCTCATCCCACCCTGTCCGTCCCCAAGCTTTCCAAGTTGGGTACAATCGATCTTTTTAAACATTTTGATATGGGCAGTCATACTCTGTCATCCTGCAGACAATGAATTTCCACTGACGATCCCTGCATGGAAGAGAGATGAGAGAGATATTAGTGAGCCAGAACCACAGAGGATAAGACTATACAAGTAAGAATAACTTTGTACCAGTTATTGTGGCAACAAAACCATCTGTCTGCCACTAGCTGAATTTCCTCTGAGTGCTTTGTGTTTTTATGGGCTGGAAGGAGATAAAATACCTCTGATAGTTATAATTCCTTCAGACTCCCTTACAAGGCAAGAAAATCATCTCTCTGAATAGTTAGGTCTCTGAGTATCCTTCAGAAGACGATGACCCTTGATGGTGATCAATCCTAAATTGCCTAAATTGACTTGAAATTGGTGACCAAGAGGAAAAGAATGGCTCTGTCAAAAGTTATTGTCATGTGATATATTTCTCAGGAATGTCTACCAAGTAAAATACGTGGGTGATTTTCAAGCTATTTCTAAGTGGGGAGTTATCCACACAGCAAAATTCACTTTTATTTTTTTTCCTATCCACTACTAGGTCTTCTAGCTAGTGTCCTTTATTAAAGATGTGAAGAAATCGATAGTGAGAGAAATCAAATTCACTTCTCATCCTTGATCTCCACAAGTCATGTGTGAGGCAGAGTAACGTTTATGAGTGTAAGGGGAGTTTATGTTCTTCCTGGTTTGTGAATAACTGGATGTCTGTATTCCCTCTCAGGAGAGTGATACGATACCTACTAACAATTTTTAGTAAGAAGCATGGGTGGAGCAGCAGGATTCAATGATGGAGGCCAGTGATTTAGTGTCCAATAGCTGCAACAGGCTGCAAATTTCCACCTTAGCTTATTGCGTGTTAAATTTTCCCTTGACAAAAAGGCATGAGTTCAGAGGATCAAATACTGTCCTGTTGTGGAGTAAATGTTCAATTTAGGCTGCTTGGCACTGGCTAACAGGAGTTTAGATTGAAAGTGCAGTCCTTGCAGGTGGCAGCCACTGTTTAAATTGGTAATGGGTAGTACTCTGAGAGGTTTCTGAATGTTTGGATTCTACTAATAGTTATCTCCTAAACCTGAGGCATGGGACAGATAATGCTGCTGGAGTGGTTCAATGGGAGCATGCTTTACAAGACTGCTGCACAGTCCTGGTTTTCTGGCAGCCAATCCAAACAGTGAGGAAACTGGTGCAGAACCTGCTGCTGCTTAGGGAGGTGCTGAGACCCCTGAGCCCAGGTTTTGGTATTAACTGCTCTTCTATGGTTTCATTGACTGGGTGACTCTATCCTGGAATAAGATTAATTTGACTCTTAAGCTCTGTGTAGGTGTAAAGCATCTCATTTCAGCTTATATTAACTGAGATTTTTTAATGGGAAATTTACTATGTTCCTTCACCAGTTTATGCTGAGTGTTGTTTGGAACTGGGTCTGTCTCATACTCATCAGCAAGTCTGTGTTTAGTTATGTAGTGTTGATTTTAGGTTTTCTTTAGGTCTTTCCTAGATTCCTAGGTGGTTTTTCATCATAATTGCCTAATAAAACTGTTAGCAAAGGTTGATGAAATGCAAGATTTGTTTTTAGATTTATTTTAGGAAGTCTGCACTGGGACTACGTGCGTGCTTTTCAAAGATAGCTATTACTCTTTTGGTCATTTAGCTACCCAGAGAGACCAAAAAAACCAAAAAAAAGATGACTCATGGATTAACAGGACCATATGGGTCAAAATTAAGGTCTCCTAAACTAGCACCTGTTGTCAGAGACACTTTTAGCTCAGAAGCTGAGGTCAAGTCATTTTTTCTGAAAATGGATATTGTAAAGTTAAAAGTCAAGTTCTTGAAAATATATGTATTTTAGTTACCTGAATTAGTAACATGCTTTAAACTATTAGAACAGAATTATTTCTGCAGTTGTAATTCAATCCTGAACTTGCAGACACTTTAGCATATATGCACATGGTTGATGGCTGATAGTTTGTGCATTTAGTGTCTTAATTTATCTTTTTTTGCATTACTTGCGTTTGAAGTTAAGTGTATATGTCCAGCTTTTCAGGATGTAGGCCATAACTTTGTACCATTGGTGCTGTGTGTTGAATTCAATAGTTATCAGCCTATTTCAATTTGTAGATCACCTACAGGTTTTCCAGTGGGGGTGCAGATCCCGTCAAGAATTGCCCTGTGTGGCATATTGTAGAATATATACGAATTTGCCTTTGCAGATCCTTGACATCACTTTATATGTCCCCCCCAAGCTGCTGATTTCATGCATTTTCCTTGGCTTGGGGAGTCGATATTGAATTGTCACTTTTACTCTCCAGCTGACATGTGCTGTCAGATTTGAATTTTTGATGCTTATAGGGAAAATATCATTTATCTCCAAATATTGCTGAATAATCTGTTTCCAATTCAGTTAAAAAATTCTATGAATTCCTATTCATATTGTATTTGACAAAATCCTCTTTCTTTGGTCATATGAAAGTTATTAGGGACCTAAAATACGCTATAATTTAACTCAGCTGAGCTCACTAGATGTCCAGCTTGCCCAGGCATTTCAAATGTACTTACTGCTGGCGTATCTGGGTGTTGATTTATCTTTCAGAGGTGATGTCTGAGAAGTTAAGAAATTACTAGCTATTCAGATCACATAAATAAACGGAGCAGAGAACAGTTTTTTAAAAGAAATGAGCTTATGACAGTCTGCATGTGCTGTTTTTATACTATGCAGAGAAGGGCAAGCTGTGGCACCTACCAAGCATGTCTTGTAATCCCCATCTCCCTGTCCAAGCTATGGGGTTGTGAATGGTCTTCCATGAGGGAGCCATGCCATCACCACTTAGCATGTTTCAGAGCTCAGACTGAAGCTATTTTGAAGCTATTTTGATTTTTGATTTTTGTGTGTGTGGTTTGTTTATTTATTTTGGAAGCTATTTTGCCAAGGGTTTGCAATGTGCATGTCTATGTGGGCAGCTGCAGCTGTTTACAACCTGCTTCACGTACCCCATGTCCATCTGTGTAACTTGAGTGTATCAGTCTGTCTAACACAAGATAATGCCTTTCCCTGCAAATGTTCCTTTACTTATGTCCATCGGTCATCCTGTCTGCATCAGCATTACCACCACGCTCCCAAATGTGCTCCCAGAGATACTTCAAGCCTTTGCTGATTCTTTCCAGCTGCTTTTGTCTTGCTTTGCAGACAATTGTTTTCTCCTTTTGAAACATTTAAAATGGGACTGAAAAATGTAAATATTAACCACTTCTTAAATCTGTTCACTGATGAGCACTTAAAACTTCTGATGATGAACAGCAACTCCTTCATTCATTCCTGATACACAGGCATGGAAACTCACAGAGAGTGATTACAGAAGAGGAGGTGAGGATGCCACCTTTCTAAGCTTTCTACAGCTTTTGCTAGAGGCACCACGTGCTCTCTCAAATATCTGTACATCAGCAGTGGCCCCAGTGATGCAACGTCTTGGGGAGTAGGAAGGGAGGATATGATTTCTGCAAGTTTATTCAAAGAGTCTAAAAATACCTAACTGTTTGAAGTGATTAGGAAAGTTTAAACTAAAATACCTTCAAAGGCTTTTTTTGTGCCTCTCATTAGCTCAAGAACTTTGCCCGTCACGGGCTAAATAGTACAGACACAAGTTTAATGTGCTTGAAAATGAAAAGCAGTCTCAAAATCTACAGCACGTTTACGCAGACAAGCTGCACATGTGCTTGCTGTTGGCAGGCTGGGACTGGGAATAGCCTTTTTAGCTCCTGTGCTGCCTCAATAAACTGCAAAGAACCATTTAGCATCACAAACTTTGCCAAATTTTGCAAGTATACCACTCAGGAGAGTTACTGTGTGAATTTGAATTATGAACTGGCATAGCAGGAATTTTTTTCTCTTTTTACGTGACACAACACAAGTTGGGTTTAGTCATTCTGGAAGCTGGGGGCCAGAAAGTTCATTGGCACAGAAAAGTTTCCTAGATTGCATTTCATAAAACATTTTCTCTATGGTTTTCACCTGCTACTGTTGCAGGTCATCTGTGCTGTCAGGGTAGTGGTAGCACAAAGGTGTTGGTGGCTTCTTCCCTTTCCAGGTGCTGTGGTCCCACAAACTGTGAGGTTCTGTACTGCGGAAGTACATCCCCATGATACTGCCTCCACTCCTGGCCCGCTCCACTGCTGGCACCCCTTCCAAAGGCTGTGCCAAGCCTTCAGCAGTCACAGACAGAAATCTGCTCGGAGGCATCAGTTACCTCAACTGCTCTGTTTTCCAGGCTCGTCCTTGTGATTCCTGACTTTATCCTGGTCCACATCCGATGGATGCTGGAATCCAGCTGCAAGCGAGCACACTGTCTGCATTATCTCCCCTACTCTATGCCATGGCCGTGAGGAAAATGGATTAAGAATAGCACTGGGGAATATATAAGAGAGAAAACCCAGAACAGGGATGTTCCTTGTAAAGTCTCTATCCAAAGGGGTAAACAGATATCTTTGAGTCAGTTAACTGTGAAGGTTACGTTTCCGCTTGTAGGAATAATTTGCAGACATGGCTTCCATTTGTTAATAAACAGTCAGAAAATTACGGTTATGGACCTGCAGCAGTCTGACAGTATGTTAGTATTTCTGGAAAGGTCTTCTTCTTTTAGGTAATCTTTTGGCTGAGGAGATCCCTAGTGAAGTCTGGCAAGCTGAGAGATTGTCATAGTGACCAAAGCACCTTGGCTCCTTTGAGTGTTATTAGAGACAGCTTGAAATGTTGATGTTCTCAAAGTCCTCCTCCTCTCCACTCTTCTCCTGTAGCTAGTCTTGGCAATGATAGGCCAGTGCAGCACACCTTGCCTTGCTGTCTGTGCTATGTTTGATAACAAATGCTTTAATACACTGGGCTGAGGCGTTTGATAAAAAACATCAGCAAAGAAATAACTCACAGTTGGTGTATTAGAGGTCAGTTCGAGAAGAAAGAATCAAGATCCAACTACAACTTTACTAGTCATAGGGCCTCATAGGGCCTGGTCAAGTAATGACCAGGACTGATCAAGAAAAAGTAGTGAATGCATTTTCTGGAAAGGGATAAGTGTGCACTGCGTTGCCTTAATTCCTGGTGTGGGCTCAAATCTGTTAGAATTGTGTTGCTGTGGACTGGGCAGTTTACAGCATTCTGATTACGGTTTGTATGGTCTTATCTTTGCCTGCTGGCAGACTCCCCACTTCTCTGCAAAGAACAGTGGGCCGAAACAGGTCCTTCATCCCCTGAAAGGACAGGGCGTTCGAGGCTGAGTTTTTGCTGCATTAGATAAAAGATGCTTAAAGAGGTAGGTGAGAAACAATACTGAAGATCTGTTACACTTTGTGGAGCTCAGACTCAGCCAAGCCTACCATTGCTATATTTTTTGTGACTCAGACGGACTTTGGCAGATGATCCCCTTATGCATGAAGATGCCTTTTTCCTGATACACCACCCTGGACAAAAAACACATGAAAAGCAAACCTGTCCACAGCAGAGAAAGTTGTGGTTGCCCCACGGATGTAATGGTCGTAAGTGTACATCATCATGTCCATATCTTCTCCATAGTGTCCCGGATATTCTGTTGTTAACCTTTACATTAAGGAAAAAGAAGATAAAATAATTTACCATCATATAGAAAAGTCCATTTGACTGAATGCAACTCAAATAGTAGATTTTTCCTATTTCTTTGAAAGTTCTTGTTTCTTCATAGCGTAACAAGATGCAGTCTGACCTATAAAACTGCATTTCTCTTCTACGCAAATAGCTCATGTAATTATCTGAAGAAATTTCAGTAAGCTTAGAACTGTTAAGAGCAAGCTGGAGTATTTTATATATACGCATCTGCAGCTCTGGGATAAAAGCAGCCTGAGCAAGGACATAAAGCTTGTCTACTACTTATGTCTTTGTTGCAGGGATTTGCTCCGGCCTCTTGTCAGTCTGTTTGATTTGCTGCTGTAGAGTTCTATAGATGTTGCCAAGTCAAATAGCTACAAGCATTGGTCCGTTTATGAATTATATTAAATGAATGTAGCAATTAATCCATTCCTCTTTGTTCTTTACACTTTCCTCCTAATTTATAATGTGAAATTATTTGCCTGGACAATATTTGCGCTGTGTATTTTATCTAAGAAGCTCAAAGTGCGTCTGCACTTATTAATCAAATGATGGTTACTGCTTCCCTGGGAAATAGACAAGTAATACTGTACTGGGTTTTACAGACATTTTATGGATAATGAACAGATACAGGAAGAGGCTGGGACCTTGACCAGTACTTTATGTCAACATTATGTTAGAGCTCAGGAATGGAAACCTGGCACTCTGTCTTTCCCTGTATTACATCATTTTACATGGGAGTTGCTAGTGGAGTTGTGTCAGCTTCACTCCGAAGTGTCACAGAGAAGAATCAGGTTCCCTGGAAGGGAGATGCTATCCCCATGGAAATGAACAGCTCAACTCCTGTTGAGACTAACTGGGTTAAGATGCCTTTACAGAAATCCTGACAACCATTTTTCTGACTTAATTCAGCCCAGCAGCAGTACTTGAATGATGCTTGAAGGTGATCCTAGCACATCCCAGCCAAGCACTCATGCATGTGTTTACATTTTGTTAAATCCATGAGGTTTGAGCACAAGCTTAAATATTTTACTCACTAGGAGTAAAACTCTGGGGATGGGTTGAAGTTTTTAAAATTAGATGCTTTGAGGTTACCAAAACCAGTAACTGTTGGATTACTCAGCAACTGAAAGTTTACCTGAAGACTGAGGGACTTGGGAATATTAGGCTGCTTTCTGCCTGGACAAGGTACTGTGCAGCCTGCTGTAGGTGACCCTGCTTTGGCAGGAGGGTTGGACTAGATGACCCACAGAGGTCCCTTCCAACCCCTACTATTCTGTGATTCTGTGATTCCTAGAGCTAGTTACTATAACAAAAATCCTCTGAAATTACCACCACTCTCCGTATATTTTAAATGTATTTTTGACCACTTAGTTTACCCCATTCTCATGCCATTTACATCTTCTTTGTAAAGCACATGTGACTTAATTCCAGGTCATTTTCAGCATTTGAAAATGAAAGAAAAATGTCATTCAGTTGGAACATCATTCCTAACAAATCATTATTCCTTGACAGATGAAAAATGGGACTGACTGTGAAACTCAAGCATAGCCTTATAAGGTCCATAAGTCTCAACAGTCAACTTCTTTGAACATATCTTGTTCTTGTGCCTCCTGTCCTTTGCTCATGGCAATCACCGAACAGTTTACTCGTTGTAGCACAGGAACACCCGTGTCCAAGTGATTTTGGGAGGCAGAAGATCAGACCTGGTCACGGTGTCTGTTGTCAGAGCTCTGACCAAGGGCCCATGGATTTGCAGAGCCTTCGCAGTGCTGTGCTGTTGATAAGAAATGAACTGCAGTATTTCGCAGGTCATGCGGGCAGCTGCTGCAGGCTAGGAGATGTAGAAGAAACCATGTACACTGGCAATCATTAGGATGGGTAAATAGGTAGAGTCATCATTATGCTCTGCAAATCAGATAATTAGAGCCACAGTTTTCAGTCCAGCCCCCATGACAGTCCAAAATGAGACCACTATGGATTTTAAGGGATCTGGATCTGACCCAGACAAAGAGAATAAATACAAATATTACAAGAAGCTGTTTCTCATGGCTTCTCACCAGTTACCTGGTGGTTTTTCCTAGACCAAAGATCATCACCTGAATGTGTTTCTGTCAAACCACAGCAAATCTGTTACTTTGATTGAAGGCTGGTGGTATCAATTTTGCGTTCAGGACATCTCCCCTTGTGCTCCCAAATATATATTTATTTGTCAGCATCAAACAGTTTACAGCCCAGATTTGAATACTTTTTTACCTAGACAATCTGTGACCTGAATCTCTAATACATCTTTATGTCCCCCTAAAAGGACCTTAACCTGAGCGTAAGTTAGTTCTTTGGTATAGCCAATTCGCTGAAAGCCCTCCATTTTTTTCAGGGCCCTGCACTCCATGCCCGGAATTGTAATGAGAGCTTGAGTATACTTCACAAAGCCTGACCTCTGCTACCTGGTCTGCATTTTATGCATTTTCTTTACAGAGCAATCAAGGCCTTGAGGAGGACTTTTTTGTATGCCGGAGTCTCCCATCAGTGAAGTCATGGATCTGAATCTGGGAACTTGAGAGTATTTCTGGATCCATAGCTGGAGGCCAAGAGAAACTGAAGCTATGTCTATGCTAGTAAATTAAACAATGCCAGAAAATATTTCTGGGCACTATATCTTGATTACCTAGACATGTAACAATCCCTGGGACAGTTTTAGCCCAGACCAACTAGCACAGTCTCAGCAGATACCTCGAAGACACAGTTTGTGAGTTAACACATGGTAGGTACCATTCCTAACAGTCAGAATGTGGACAGCCTGTTTTGGAGGGTAAGAAAGTTTAATAGTGTGGCTACTTCCTCTGCTAGAGGAGAATCCCCATATCTAGTTTACTAATTTGTAACCTGAGTGTCTGATAGAGCATCTTCAAAGATTCCTGGATCACAGCAGGTTTTTAAAACGTGGCATGAAGACCAGCTATGGACCAGGATTTCATTTTGCATTCCCCTGTCACCTCCAGGTTTTGGGGCTTTTTTTGGCCATTATTATGAGAAAACACTAAGACGTGTGTTTGTATATGTTCCACCAAATGTCTTTCATAACATCTGTTTGGCATTCAACAAGGAAAATGTTCTGTAAACTTGACCAGCTCTCTGTGCTGGGCAGACGAGACTGCGAAACACAAGGTTAAAAAACTGCTTTCAGCTCTACTCGGAGACAGAACTGAGAGTCCATTCTTTGAACTTATTTCATGAGCCTTTCAGTTGAAAGGTAAATCTGATGACAAGCTCCTGAAGAAGTGACAGGTCTCACAGACCTTTCGCAGAAGCAGGCAGTGTTATTCTGAAGTGAATGGATGAAGTAGGGAGCCCTTGTTTAGCTTCCCTCTCTTTCCTTTCTGCCTGCTGTCATCTCCCTGTCTCTCTCTACTAGCTTCTCTACATTACCATTCAATCTCTTAAGGCTTCTCCGCTAAGAAATGTTCAAAACTCAAATATATGCAATTATCGAAAGTAGATGAAATGGGGACTTCAGCTGCTCTAAAGTTTGTACTGTTACATAGACAGATGCCTACTGACTCCTTTTGTTCTGGAAAGAACAATTATAAATAGTGCTATGGCAGCAATGGTCAAGTTCAACTGGGTCTGTGTGGTCTGTCTGTCTAATTCAGTTCTCTTTGATGTTTGCTGTACTCGTTAATGAAACTGTTCACTTAAGCCCATGCACCTCAAGGTCATCTGGATTGCCTTGTATCCTTTAGAAGGAAGTGCAATTGGTTGTCCATATAGCAGGGCCCTGTGGTGTTACCCAGCGCTTCCCTATTATCCATGGTTTTGGAATCCTGGGGATAAGGTGCACAAAGTGTATCTGCACCTGAGAGATGCTCTACTGTTTAATGCATGGGGATATTCAGTATTTGGTTTTCTCATCATGGAGGGGAGAAAGGTTGTTTAACTCTGCCATTAAGGCTCTCCTCAAAGTGGTCTATCCAGCACAGGACAGTGGTTCCCTCAGCACTTGTTGTAGCTTGGTGTGTAACCTCATTATCAAGTGCTTAACTGAAAATATTAAGTGTTTTACTCTCTAATGCATATCAACTGCGTATTGACTGTGAACCACCTACCAGGGCCCTACAGACAGGTAGTTTATTTACAAACGTAGTAACGTTTGTGAGCCTTGTGTGGCAGTGTATGGTTTATACCCAAGAGGAGTCACGAAACAAATGAGACACACTTTTTGCCCCATTTGGTGAGGGTTTCCCTTCCCATGGGAGTCTGGACTCCCAAGCAGTCCAAGTCAAGAGCAAGACACATTTGGAAAGAGCCATCCACAGTAACCTGTGTGAGGGCCCTGTAGGGACTTCTGGCATTGACCTCTTAGCAAAGAAAACTGGGTTAGGGGAACAGCAAGAAGCTTGGGAATTGCCAAGTGCTGAGAAGAAGTTGCTGCTGCTGTTTGGGGTGATCTAAGGCTGCTGGGACCAAGTTGTGGTGTTTGTGGTGCCTGAGAGGGTACATGAGGGAAAGCCCTAGAAGAGAGGCTTGCAAAGCAGCTGTCAGAATACCTGTGTTATACTGATAGTAGGACCTAGGCACGGAGTAATTTGGTGCCGAACAAAACCCAAGGATGCAGGGCATCTGTGTAGGGGCTTGCAGGGTGCGTTTAGTAGGATTGTTTACTAAACCCAGATATGCACGTAGGTGTTAAATTTGGGGAAGGTCTCACAGGGGAGAAAATAGTGACGTGACATGTTTAGCAAGTTGTAGTCTTTTCAATCCGTATGATCTATTTGCAAGAATTACTACAGAAAACAGGAATTCTGCTTCAGCTTCGCAAATCCACTTCAGGTTAGTAGCAGATGTATGACGTTTGGGCGCAAGACACTTAGACCACTAGTGGCATTGTTGAGAGAGGAGAAAGCAGGTAATTCTACGTTAAAGACTAGAAAAGAAAAGCTTGTGACAAGGGATATAAATGGTTTGGCATGTGTCGG